GTGTGTGCGCAGAGCTGCTTGAACGGCGGGACGTGTGTCGCGCCCAATACTTGTTTGTGTCCCATCGGCTGGAGTGGCCACGACTGCGGGCTTCCCGTGTGCGACCAAGGCAGCTTTGTACCCACCCGAGCGCTTTCCTGAACGGTCTCTTCCGGCCTTTCAACTGGACCATGTACGTGCCATGCCGCTTCGACGCGTGGTGCCGCGCGACCAACGGCTTTGACTGCGCGAAGCGCCCGACGTCCATCGTCGCCAACTGCAGCTTGCTCGAGCTGCGGGCCAACGCGCTGAGTCCTTTCACGTACCTGCGAGAGCACGGCGAGAGCACGCTGTACCACCGCTACTCGCCACGCACGCCGTACGGCCAAGACACGCTCAACCTCTCGTACCCGGGCGCGCCCGTCTTGAGTCCTGGCTTGCTCACGACGCCTCCGTACACGGCCAGCGTCGACCGACAACTCGCACAAGTGGAGCTCCGCGTCGTTGTCCAAGGCGTTTACGTCTGTGCCAACAACGGCAACTGCTCGGCGCCTAACATCTGCGTCTGCGCGCCGGGCTGGGCAGGCTTCGACTGCCGCGTGCCGGTCTGTACACAAGGTACCCTCGCTCGACCATTCTTCCTGCTTGGACACAAGCCGCGTGTAGGGTACTATACGCCAACGCAACCGACGCTCGTGGCCGCCGATCCGATCGCCAGCGCGGCCGCCGGGCACCCATCGTCGAACGGCAACCCGACGTACTCGCAAACGACCGAAGTGTTGTCGTGGGACCAGTACACGGCGACGACTGCCATGGTCGGCGGCGCCGCCTTCTTGACCGCTGGCGGACGCCAAGGCGGCTACGCGTGCTCGATCCGAAGCCTGACGCAATTTGAGAAGCCCGCGACGCTCACGTCGCCCGCCAACTACTGGGACTTTCCCAACTACTACTCCCTCTACATGGACATGCGTATGTACTGGCCGCCGCTGTACGAGAAGACGGCGCCGGTTTGGGACAACACCCAGATGGGGTATACCCGCAACGGCATTTGGCGCTACGTGGCCCCGACGCAGTGGCAAAAAGGCACGTGCCTCGTCCAATTTCAGCGCGCGTGCGGCGGCCCGTCGTCCTCGACCGTGTCGGTGGACCCGGACGCGAGCTACCGCCCGCAGTTGCAGTACACGGCGGTGAAAGCGTCGGGCGTCATCACGAGCTATGCGAACGATTGCGTCGACAGAGTCCTTCGCGGCTGCTACAACAATGGCACGTGCATTGCTCCCGACACGTGCGTCTGCGCGGCGGGCTGGACGGGCAAGGACTGCTCGGTGCCCATCTGCGCTCCTGCCTGCATCCACGGCACGTGCACCAACCCCAACCGCTGTGTGTGTGACGTGGGCTGGACCGGCGCCATTTGCAACGTGGCCATTTGCGCCCAAGACTGCCGCAACGGAGGCCACTGTGTTGCACCGGTACCGTCGCGTGTATCAACTTGATACATATGACACAACGTGGCGCTAGGACACGTGCGAATGTGTGACGTGGCCGTCGGGCTGGCGCGACGGACGCTCGAACGGCGGGCTTCCAATCTTTGCGCTGCCCAGCGGCTCGCCGCAACGCACAGGGTGCGTGCTTTACATCGCTGACGAGTCCTTCTTGACGGCCGTAGGTGGACTGGCTACGACTGCAACACGCCCATTTGTACGCAAGCCGAAGCGTTCGTCTTGAACGTGGCGCGGTCGGACGCGACGTTTGTCGCGCTGCGAGGTCGATTGTCGTCGTCGCAAGTTTCAATGTGTCAACCGAATGCTAGGGAGCCTCGGGAAGGTCAACTGCACGCGCGTGCGTTGTCCGCAGTACGACATCGAGGTCACTTCGAACGACGGCACGTCGTTCCAGTCGGGCTGCCCAGGGATCCCGTACGCCAACCCTGTCTTTGGCGGCGACAATGAGCTTCGGCAGCGCAACTGGGACGCGTACAATGACGTTCTCAATGACGGTCGGCAGTCGGCAACCTCGCTCTGTCGGGTCATGGCGTGGCGCCAAGGCGAGTTCTCCAACCGCCAAGTGCGCATCAACCACGAAAAGAGCGGCGAAGGCGAAGGCGTGTACAAGTGCTTCCACCATGGCTCGTGCATCGCGCCCGACACGTGTAGCTGCGGCGACGGCTACAGCGGCTTCGATTGCCAAACGCCGCTTTGCCGGTTCCTGACGCCGTCCGGGGCCGTCACTTCGTGTCAGCACAGCGGCGTGTGCATCGAGAAAGACACGTGCCAATGCGTTCAGTCGCCGTCGATTCTGCATCAAAAGTACCCGGCCGCGCCCCGGGGCATGACGGGCTGGACCGGTTCGAGCTGCTCGATGGGTACACTTCTCTACAACCGCAACAAGATGGGATGATGATGGCTTGTCACGCTCCTAGCCATTTGTGTGCAAGGCTTCTTCGATGCCAACTGCTTTGATCAAGACCCCGTCGGCCGCGAAGGGTGCTACCGCTGCGCAAACGGCGGTCAGTGCGTCGCGCCCGATCTCTGTGCTTGCGCCGACGGCTGGACGGGCTACGGACTGCAAGACGCCCGTGTGCAAGGTCCAGGTCACACCGGCGATCCGCGACCAACTCTTTACGCTCGATGAAAGCAAGGTACGATGCGACGATCGAGATGACCATTGCCGACGAGTATGTGGCGCGTAGGTCTACGCTTTCGA